GAAAATAACTAAAACCAACCACATTTCCTCAAAACCGAGGCCAAAACAGCCCCCAAAACGGCCAGGTTCCCTAGAGAAATATTTTTCGGGTCCAAAAAGGCCGATTTGGGCTCCTCAGACCCATAGAAAAGCAAAAAATGAGGATATGAGGAGCCCTGGGGCAATTTTGGGGTGAAAACAGGGGGATTTGGGACTCTGGGGAAAAAAACGGAGGCAGAAAAAAGGCGATTTAGGCCAACGGTGCCCAATGACCCCCGAAAAAACAGTCTGAGCTTTTTTCTTACTTGCCTTTTTTAAAAATCCTTTTTATTGTTTTTTTTTCCTGAAACGCCCTGAATTCGCCCCAAAAAAGCCCAGCACGTTTCGGCCTTTTTCCTCCCCCTCCCCCCGCCTTGCCCTTCAATTATTATTATTATTATTTCCTTTATTTGTCAATAATTAGAGTGGGGGGGCGGGGAGAGCAGCGGCCCCGCCCCCTTTCCCGAGGCTCCGCCCCCTAGTACAAAGTCACGCGGTTAAAGGGGGGGGGGCGGCCGTTTTTGGGGTCAAAAAGGAGGATTTTGGGGGCCAGAAGGGAGCTGGGGGGGGAGGGCTCAAAAGTGGCCGGATTTGGGGTTTTGWCCCCAAACCAGCTTCTGTTTTTTGGGGGAGGGGGCAGGGGGGTGACAGGGACAAGTGTCACCCCCCCCCCCCCTTGAAAACGGGGCAGAACGGTCAAAACCGGGCGGTTTTGGGTCTGTTTTGCCCTAAAATGGGGACCGGGGTGCGGGGGTCCCCTAGGCGGGGGGGGAGGGGACACAGGTCCCCAATGGGACCCTGGTTGGGGGGTGTCCCCATGGGGGGGAGGGGGGTCACTCCGGGTGTCCCTGGGGGGGGTCCCCAGGGTGGGGGGTCCCCAGGGGTCCCCGCAGAAGCCATGGGGGGGGCTGGGTGTCCTTGGGGTGTCCCCTGGGGTCCCCATTGTCCATAGGGTGTCCATAGGGTGTCCCCAATGTCCCGTGGGTGCCGCCGTTATCCATAGGCTGTCCACAGGGTGTCCCATGGGTGTCCTTGGGGTGTCCCCAGGGGTCCCCTGGGTGTCCCCGTTATCCATAGGCTGTCCATAGGGTATCCGTAGGGTGTCCAGGGTGTCCCCGATGTCCACAGCGTGTCCATAGGGTGTCCCCGATGTCCTGGGGGTCCCCGTTGTTATCCACAGGGGGTCCCCGTTATCCATAGGGTGTCCCCGATGTCCTGGGGGTCCCCGTTGTTATCCACAGGGGGTCCCCGTTATCCATAGGGTGTCCCCGATGTCCTGGGGGGGTCCCCGTTATCCACAGGGGGTCCCCGATGTCCTGTGGCTGGCCCCAGTGTCCATAGGGTGTTCCCGGTGTCCATAGGGTGCCCACAGGATGTCCCATGGGTGCCCCCAGTGTCCATACGCTGTCCATAGGGTGTCCCGGGCGGCCCGTGGGCGG